TGGCTAAACTGAGAAGCGACTGCCAAGGAAAGTCATGTGTTGAAATTTCGGGTATAGTTGTTATTCTTGTAAATACAAGTGTAGCTGATGGTCTTTGACTATTTGAAAACGGTACACTATGGCTAATGTCTTTCAGTGCTGACTGATATTCCATAGCATGCACAGAAATCAACTATATGTGTATATAGGGGTGAGTAATAATTTTGTGCCTTTACATGCTCATGATGGTTGCAACAAACCACCACAGTCAAATAATACCGCTGCCCCCCTTTACTAGAAAATGTATTACCTTGCTTTCCCTTACTTCAAGGCATGGATCACTGTAGATGTCCAAACCTCTGTGTCCCCACCACTGTTTGTCAAAGCCACATTAATTTAACATTCTTTCAGAAATGCTTGAGGACAGGAGTCCATCAAAGTCATTAAAGGGATGACAGAGGGGTCAACAAGATACTGTACCTTCCCCAGGATGAATTTTTTGCTGCCTCTATGTTATAAAAGTCTTCGTGTCCTGCAGAAATTTCACTGCAACATTTTCACTGTGGGAGGCCCTGGTGGGAATGAAACCATCAGTGTAGGCAGTAACAATTTACCCACAATACAGGACTTTACCTACTGCTGACAAATGTTTTCTACAAACCCAATGCAGGAAGAAAAGCTGTATGACCCTGGTGTAAAGTCAGCAGTTGTTAACCTACTGTGACCTATAATGCCATCCAAAAATCACTATTTATTTTTTGATTTCTCATTCACAGATTTTTGTAGACACATTAGCTATGTAATTTGTCGTCTTTGACTTTACTCATCACCAGGTTTTGACCCCGCAGCTAACTAATTTACATCGCGCTGCACAGATGAAGGCTGTTTAATAAAACATCGCCACTTGAGGCCTAACAGGCCTCACTCTCCCCTTACAAGTCATACTCTCATTTATTCATGAATTCATGCAATCATCTCCCCGATTCTCCAAACCACACAGCTCCTAGGAAACTGTCTGTCAAGCATCTGAGGGCAACTAGTCAAAGGAGGAAGAGAAAAAATGAAGACAGACAGATAGAAAGGAAGAAAACATAGACACACACACACACAGGCTCACACACAAAGTCACAAGTATGATGTCATTGTCTGTTGGTTACCTGATGTTATACCCATAAGGACTCTGGGCTTAGTGAAGTATTATAGATCTATGTTTCTAGAGCAGGAAGGTGTGTGTCATCCTTGAATTTGGCCAGTGTTATACAGTGGAACACTTAGGAGTCTATTGTTTGTTTGTCCTTCTGCTGAGTCTTTGTCTCTGTCTCTGTCTGCAGAAAATTAACATCTTAACTTCACCCTCTGGCATTCTCAGTTTGTGCTGCGTGTGCATGTGTGTTTATTTGTGTGTTTGCATGTTTATTGGCTAGAAAAGACAAAGCAAGGCAGGTGAGCACCTTTTTTGCAAGCCAGCAGACAGTTTCTTGTCGACTCATCAGACACAACACTGTTTTAACATGATTGCAATCACAGGCCGACAACACTCACCACTCGAGAAACAGACTGACACAGGAAGAAAGAGAGAAAGAGAGAGGGACAGAAAGAGATGTTTGAAAGCTATGAGGTTTATAAGTGAAGTGTTTTGCCCAATGTTTGTATCTTCACCCTTGCTGAGGGGGCCACCTGTGTACATCTTTGTACTGTATGTGTGTGAGTGTGTGTGAATGTTTGAGCTTTTACCTTGGTTTGAAAAGAGCCCATGAGAGGAGAAAGATTGAGAGGGACGAGAGAGACTGGAGATGTGAAACAAGAGGCTGATTAGTGAAGGTGAAGGCAAATGTTGCCATGTTCCCAAGCACATGACACACACATACACACACACACACACACACACATGCAGCCTGAGTGTTAGCACTTGATTGCTGCCAAACAGCATACAAGGTCATCGCCTTATTATCACCCTCCTCTTCTTCTCCTCTCAAGAACACGTGCAAATTATCATCTACTTTCACTCTTTCTCACCATCTTTTTCTCTTCTCTCTTTTGACTGTCTTTTTCTCTCGACTCTTTTCTCACACATTATTTTTGTCTCTATGTTTCAGTTTCAGTTATACTTTATGAGGCTTGTTTTTTCTTACATTTCTCTCTCTCGTTAACATTTAATATTCTTTCACTCAGTTTTTGTCTTTTATTGTCTTTCTCATGATATAATTTTGTTAATTGTTTCCACATTAGATTTACCCATGAAAAGGTAGTATCTTGGATCTATCCATAAGGAGATATTTATAAATCAATTCGAGAATAATAGATTTAATTAGAAATTAACCTTTCTGCTCATTAGTATTACTGTTTTTTTGTTTTGTTTTTTTCAACACCAACAACAATCACGGCCGGAGGCGTTATGTTTTCGGTTTGTCTGTTCATCCATCCCGTTCTCATGAGCACAATAGCTCAGAAACTCCTCAAGGGAATTTCATCAAATTCATTAAAAACATTCATTTGGACTCAAGGATGAACATGTTAGATTTTGGTGGTCACACTTCTGACCTTGATTCAATACTATAGCACAGGAAGGGGAGATTGTGACCATATTTCTAGCAACTTGGCTGGTTGGCAGAAGCACACAACCACAAGGCCCTAATTCTAAATTTTTACATTTCTCATCTTGTTTTGTAATCTTTTCTGCTCCTCCTACTGTAACCCATCCCTTTGTCATTCATTTGCAGAATGTCAGTATAACTGACACTAGTGCAGTGCGCAGCAAGGCAACACTGGTATTGCTCTTGGTGATAGGAAACTGGCTGCCATTCAACACCTAGCGCCTCTATGGCAGTTTGGATAGAGTGTGCTAGTGAAAGTAAAGATTGTGAGGCTTACTTCATATCCATTATTAGTGACACAACTTGCCCTTGCCCATTTCGTCTTCTCCATATTTTTAATAGAATACCTTTAGTTTTGATTCAATTGACTTTTGATTCTGGACACAATTTGTGAAAATGCTATAGTATTATTTTCAGTGTACTACTTTTATTTTATTTTTTTCTTTTTAGTGATATTTTTTTTAGTCAAAGCATAGGACAGATTTAACTTCCTGGAGCTTTCAGGAATTCCGTGTCTAGCTCAGCTTCAATACTGCTGTCATTTCAGATAACAGAGCTACTGTGCACCTACCTGCTGCCCTTATGTTTCATTTACAGTCACATCTGACAAGACCAGAGTAAAAATTGGAAAGTGCATAATGTATTCTGAAATGAAGAGGGCATCTTCATCTGTGTGGTAACTGTGCAAGTGAATGACATCTGTCATCTGGAACCGAGAGGTCTGGAATCTGATACCAAATCTGAGAGAGATAGTGACCTTCAACAAAACAGTTTTTAATAGTTTGCAATATTAAAACGTGTTCCAATCTGTTCCTTTCATCCTATACCATCGCTCAGCTTCTCCTGCTTTCTTCCCTTCTGTTTAGCTTGCATCTCTGTCATCCTGTTTCACACATTTGTATCTTATTTTGTCACTGTATCTGTTTTTGTATTTCTTGCTGTTTATAGGGATGACCAGTGCAAGCAGCAGAGACTAATTAACATATTTAGAATGCAAGAATTCTAAGTGTGTGTGTGTGTGTGTGTGTGTGTGTGTGTGTGTGGTGTGTGTGTGTGTGTGTGTGTGTGTGTGTGTGTGTGTGGTTTGCATGTGCATGTACAGCTGACCAACAGGGCTAGTCCTGTCATCAGTCTGCGAAGAGGCATCTGGTATTCCATCTGACAAGATGAAGTTAAAATGTGTTTGTGAGTGCATGTGTGTGTGTGCATGTATGTTTGTGTGTTCAGTAAGTTTGCCGAGGCGATTGAATGTTTCCTTGTGTACATACGTACCTGCGAGTTTTTCTGCCAGATCGAGTGTGCGTGCATTCATTGACTATGTGACTATGTCACTGCATATGCTTTGAGCGTATTTGTATATGTACTGTATATGTGTTTTTGTGTTCTCCAACACATAAATGTGTGATAAATAATGCACTGGTTGGACACATGGCTTTTTTCCCAGACCAACAAACTAATTCATTTCCTCAGATATCACAAGTATCAGGTAGATTATAAAGTTGAATTTGAGAATAAAAGAGTGAGTGGCTTTCTCAAAAGTGATAAAAGGAGAAGTCATTTTCAACCTGCATTACCAGACCTAAACTACCTCCACACTTCACTGTGATGTGCCAGTGCAATAGAAAGGTCTGAGTGAGCTCAGCATCCTTATTTTGTGGGTTAAAAATGTTTTGGGATGTTTCTTGGACTAATCAGACCTACCTCAGAAAATGCATTGCAAATGTACTGTATTTCCTGTAACATCTCTGAGAGGTTAATGGAACCATTTGCTTTCAATTTCCATAAACTATGTGCTTATAAATGACGTGGAAAGTTGACATTGATTGGTAATGAAGAGTTGAAAAATTAAAGTTGAAAAGAGTGCTGTCCTCACGTAGCTGCGCTCTGAGAACACAGATCTGGTAGGAGCAAAAATAGAAAGATTGTCAAAAAGGCATGAATCAAGCTGTGCACTGTAGGAAACCCTATAAAAAAAGACATCTGTTCCATAGTTTGATTCAGCTTACTGTATTTAACTGATCTTAAGAGAAGAACACATCTATCCTCCTTCCTATCAAAAAATTAGAATAATCATTTATACTATATGCATACGTATAGTCCTGAAATAAGGCAGCATTTCGGTTTATAGTACCTCTATCATTAGCATTGTAGCCAGTATATTTAGCATGTTACAGAGCAGAAATTTTGAGCTGGTGCAAGATCTTTAGTTTATATGAGTAGATGTCTTTTTGGAGTCTTGTTATGAGTTTTACATACATACTTGTTGTTTTGTATCACGTTCATACATTTTTCCAGAAAACACAAAGATGGGTTGTATATTTAAGTAGTATTACATTATTACCTTGTTTTCTCTGTAGAATTCTTATATTATTATTTACAAAGTGATGTGAAAACAATTTTTTTATGTGTGTTTCTTTGTTTACGCAGGTGTGCTATGGAACCTGTCATCATGTGATGCTCTAAAAATGCCAATCATCCAGGACGCCCTGGCCGTTCTGACCAATAGCGTCATCATACCCCACTCTAACTGGGACTCCTCCCCAAATCACCATGATGACCGCAAGCTCCACCTCCATACCTCCCAGGTGCTGCGCAATGCTACAGGCTGCCTCAGGTAAAAGGAACACACACATGTATAAGCCTGCTATATTGGGAAATTCTTAACGCATATGCACTTTTTTATTCCTCTTTCTCCTCTCTGTATGTATATGCACACCCCCTGTATACCTTTGCTATATAATAATATATAGTGACAGTATACAGTATAAAACCTAATAATAACTAGGCTGTATATCTCTTTAGCATTTCAAGGGAAATAATGGCTGCTTGATTTTACAAAATGAAATCAAAATTGTAGCTTGACTTTTCTTCTTTATGGTTAACTCTGACAGTTAACCAATAGTCTCAACCATTTTTATAGTAAACAATCTCAACATATCATAACAGTTGAGCAGCTTTAATACGTCCTTTTCTCTTTCTTTATCCTTTATATCCCTCTTCCTCCTCTTATTTGTGTGTTTATCTTACTCACTCGAGTCGCAATAATTAGCTGAGTAGCATCATGTGACCAGTGCTGTACAGGCTAGAAAAGCTCCCTGTTTAAAATAGAAATGCTCTGTCAAAAGGTAATAATTCTCAATAATTTACGGGGTCTGAATAGGACATCATCTGGGTCTGAACTTCTGATTTATTTTAGAAAACAGCAACATGACATATACACATACTGCATGTGTTTCCACTTTCTTTCTTATTCCTCAGAAATACAGTATATATATATCGGATTTTCATGTTATTGATTTCTTACTGACATACGGTATACATAATTCATCATGGTTTTATTAAACTTCACAGTACATGTTGGCGTGTGTGTGTGTGCAAGCATAAATAATATACATATATCTACTGAGATTTACCATAATGAGACTATTTTATTGTGCATTGCAATGAATCTTGTCCGTTGAGTCTTCACTGCTGTGATTATAGATGCATATATTCACAAATTAAATTATAAACAATACTTTGTGCACAGTTGTTTATCTCTCTCCCCCTCACTCATTCACTCTAGCGCTCTCTCTCACTAACTTGTGCTGGTAACCATAGTAACAACTCCCCCACTTGTATGAGGACATTGTGTGTCAAGACTTTCTTTTTGTGCATTGTGCTGATAAAATATGTTCCTTAGTTGTTAAAGCTTGAAATAAGGAAGGACGCTTCAGCTTTATGGATCATGGTGTTTATTCGATTTTCAGAAGTCTGAGAAGTTCAGTCATCCCTGATAAACCCTACAAATAATTTGGATTTATCACATGAAAAAGTTACATTTCCTAAGTGAAAAGGTGCTTTATATGACTGTTTTCAGTTTCTGCACATAGTGGAACTGACACCAAAAAGTCCTAAGTGCTAATACAAAAAAAAAATTAAATTAAATAAATAGTCAGTTTCTGTCTGCAGACATAGCATTACATGTATATTCCTGCACATGTACAGTGTATATTAGCCAAATCAACAAGGTACATAGAACAACCTACTTGACCTGTCCATGCTATTCCTGGACATGCCCTCACAACCAAGTAAACTTACATACAAAACACTCACTGAGAAATTCATTAGGAACAACATACTAATACTGGGTAGGGCCTCCCTTTGCTCTCAACAGCTTCAATCCCTCGTAGCACTGAATCTACAAGATGTTGGAAACATTCAGCAGATTTTACTTCATGTTGACATGATTGCATCACATTTCTGTAGATTTATCAGATGCATATTCATGCTGGGGAAAAAAGAGGCTAGTGAAGAGAACAGAACTAATCGCTGCCAAAGGTGCTTCAACTAAGTACAGAGTAAAGGGTCTACTACTTTACTCAATGTGATGATTCAGTTTCTCCATTTTTGAATTTCCATTTCCATTAGAAAAAATTCTAAAATTCTGTTTTCACTATTAGACAATATTACTATTATCACTACTATTTCTGAGTGTTGATTCAATATGTCTGTTCTTCAAGATTACTCATAACTAGATTTGAAAGAAATCTATATTTATGGATTTGGAGCTCAGCCAAACATGCAGGGATTTCTGTAAGTTTTGGATCATGTCACAAATATAAAATAGGTGGTCTGCTGTTTCTACAGTTACATTGTGTATTGCTTTAAATGTTGGTGGTGCAAGGAATTGTGGGATGGCATTATCTCCTTTTCTTTTGTAAAGGATGGTCCAGGGTATCCCATGCTAAAGAAAAAATAAGACAGGAAGCACTGAAACGCTTTTCTTTAGCATTTAGAGAATTTGACGAGCTCTTATCATGGCTGCCACTTCGATACTTCCAGGTCATTTCACTCAGTTTGGAACTTTCCTAAGCAACAAAAAGTGTTTGACCGCAACCACCGATTGGTATTAAGGGGCCCAAATTGTGCCAAGAAAGCATTCCCCACACCATTAAACCAGCTTTGGCCGTTGACATAAGGCAAGTTGGGTCCATGTGGTCATGCTGTTGATGCCAGATTCTGAGCCTACCATCTGCCTCAGGAGAAGCTGAGAATCACTAGATCAGGCTACATTTTTCCAGTCCTCAACTGTCCAGTGTTTTTGAGCTTTTGCCAACTGTAGCCTCAGATTTCTGTTCTTGGCTGACAAGATTGGAACCTGAAGTGGCCTTCTGCTATTGTAGACCATTCACCTTTACATTTGATATGTCATGCATTCTTTACATACTTTTTTGCTCACCGCTGTTTTAGAATGGCATTCAACGTAACCTATAGACCAGAGAGCCAGCAAATTTATCCAAGCTTTTTTGGAGCCCAAAACCAATCTTCTACATTATATGTTGTGCATTTTAATAACCTGTAGATGTTACAAATGGACTACATTCAGCTGACATGGACCCATTCAAAATTGAGAAGACCAGACTCAAATATGTATGTCAATTGAGTTAAGGATTCTCTAGCATGGATAGCATGTGCAACACCTACTAAAAAATCTTGTACTTAGCTTGGTGGGCCACATACTCCTCATTGAGTTTCAACCCCCATCTGCAAGCAATGTAGCAATGCCATGTTGTTGTGAAATGTTAAGACTTAGCATCCCACCACTACCTATAGTTGGCCTTAAAATTAAGTAACGTTATTTAGCATGTTAACATTAGATCACATTAGTTTAAGGTAACTGATATTTAGCCACAATTTTCATGAACAAAATGAAGACTAGTGTATCCATACTATCTCTTATATTAACACAACTCCACATTTTCCTAAAGCTACATGCATGTTATTTCAGTCATCTTGCAAGTACAGTGAACCTGCTAGTATTAATGGCATGCATGTTTGAAAATGATAGTTCACATGTTCAGTGAGCTGGCCATAAAGTTGTTAAGAAAATAGTCCAAGCCTCCTTGTATATGGAATTTTCTCTTAGATTATTTTATTTATCCAAACATTTGTTCAGGGCATGACAGAGCATAAGCAGCAGGAATGGAGCTGAACATCATCTGCTCACAAGGAAAATTGAGTTCACAGAGGAAGAAACCTAATGTTATTATAGATAAGTAAATCATTGTGCTAAGCTGACATGTCAGTGACACAGACAAGGTGTAGTGGGAGACTGCTTTATTCGTTTGCTGACTCAAAAGATTGACTGAGAAGTCTTGAGTGTTTTCAAACTCTTCCTGCCTAGCAGAAACATTTGTTGATAGGATTCACTGAAAAATTCCCATCAGAATTAAACTAGGTTTAAAATAAAGGTCAACATTGAATATAATATTGGTAAATCAATTTTCAAGTTCACAACACTTTTCAAAGCCAGCTTTTGTTAATTTTGAAAAAAATGATAACAGAAAAATCATTGCTTTACTTTTGTCAGTTCGCCATGTAGTTTTATTTTGGTCTAATTTTGAAAATTACTGATGATACTAAAATCCAATCTTTGCACATAAAAAACTCACACATACACACTATTATACTTGTGTTTTTAATTCTGGCCATGTGTACTTGTATTCGGTGAGCACAGAAAAGGAGCTCTGATCTTTGATCCTGTTGCGTACATACCTGGCCTGGCATCAGTCACAAGCCATTAAGGAAGTTCATTATAAGGACATGCAGAGTTATGGACCCACAATTGACACTTTGCGACTCTTCCCACCATCAAACTATCAAATTGATAGGAAACAGAGACAAAGGACCCCTCTTCCACAAACAGACCATGCTTTGAGCATGTCCGAATGACACAGAACCAGACCAAAGGTCAAAGGGTCAGCTCCAGAGGATCAACCAATGAAGACAAAGACACCAGGCAACTGGAGAATATAGGCAAAATCTCCAGTTTGTAACAATAAGACTCTGTCTAATGACATTTAATTGTTTCTTATATAGAAAAGTAACAACAAAAGGACTGATTAACACTAAGGTGTGAATCCTGGCCTCTTTGTGCCATGCATGAACACACACACACATGCACACACACACACCAACCTCCCTTCCTCTGTCCCTCTCTAGATAAGAGTCATAAACTACAACCCACATTCCAATCCTGGGTAGTGACCAGCAGAACACTCTTCACAGACACAGATCTAAGGAAGAATGTAAAATTAAATATCTAGCTGTTATGTAACTCATGAGATGTTCCTATGCAATAGTTTAATCCCAAACTTCTATCCCATAGAATGTTTGAAATGTAACATGTAGATTTTAAGACAATGTCCTTCATGTGACCATACTGTACTGTCAGCATCCTTCACACGAGGTAACACACACTACATGACATCCAGAATGTCCATATTATTATTATTACAGTCAAAGAACTGCTGTGTAATCCACATTTATAGACTATTAGCTTTGGGAAATGTTTATATTGTTGTTTGATCAATTAACCACTTGTATCATGATTAATTCCAGGTTTGAAGGATGTAATATGAAATCAACACTCCTATTACTCCTCTCTGCCATTATTAGTGCAAGTAGTTTTATATGTTATTTCATTTAATGTTTTGTGGTCATGGTGGAAGACGGATGTGCGAGTTTATAAGTAAACTCTAGAATTAAATTATTCCAAAGTTCAGTGGAAAATGACACTCTTCTCCAAGTGGAAACACAGGAGAAGACGGGTGACGCCCCTGAAACATGCGC